AATTTGAGTGAAACACTTACCTTTTAAACACATGAGAGTTGAGTGCTTATATCCATGATGGCTACATTAGTTTACTCCATCTTCATATGAAAATGCTTGCTAATTGATTATGAGTTGTGTGAGAATGTTTATTTATAATGTGTTGTGTGTTTTAAAGAGTTTGATTGGTCTATGTTCATGGTATTACGACTGGATATTTTTGGGAAATTAAATTTGAGTTTTGCCCGAGGACGAGCAAAAGTTAAGTGTGAGAGAATTTGATATGAATGTAAAATGCATATTTTTTCCTCCATATTTTATGTGCTTGAATGATTATTGTGTGCCAAAATATAATTATTAACCCCACATTTTGATTTAGGTGGCAATTATATGGACATTGCGTAACTTGGAAGAAATAAGCGAACAAGGACCAAAATAAAAGAAATCGAAGTTTGTGGACTGAAATGTAAATATTCAAAATTTATGTGAAACCTCACGATGAAGATTTGAGAGTGTTAAGAGTCAATTGGATTAAAGAAGACATCAAAGGGATAAAATATCGTCAAAGTGTATGATCACACATCAATTTTCAATCGAAAAAGTTATGCACTGATTTTCAGTTCCATATTGAGACCCATTTTTTATATGGCAAACGATCGAATTAGAAGATGATCTTTGAAGCGAAGTTTTATCTCTTTGATCTATCTTTCCAACGCATCTTGAATCGCCTCAATCAGACATCAGGAGCGAAAGATATGACCAAAATACTGAAGGCTATCTGACGGAAGAAACCTATAATTATGCGGTCGCATAGCTTTAATTCTATGCGGTCGCGAGAGGCATTTCAGAGATTTTTAGAGCCTAGTTTCAATGTTCCATGTGACCGCATGACTTATTACTATGCGACCGCATAGTTCATTCCCGACACGAAAATTCTGGTTTCCGAATTTAAGTCAACTACTTATTGAAACAACTATAAATACATATTTTAAAACCCTAGAAAGGGGGAAGAACATACAGAACACCTCAAAACTTCATTCTTCATTATTTGCTCATAGATTCATGGATTGTAACTAAATTTTTACACTTAGTCAAAGGAGATTGAATTCTCGAAACCACATATTGTGAGATTTAAATGGTTTTTCTTAGTTTAATTCATGTTTTTGAGTATTGAATTTTCTTTTGCACTTATTTCCACGATTGTTATGTTTAATTGCTATGATGCCTACTAGTTTGTTATTCGTT